GGTGTCGGCTATTTGAAGGTATATAGATGATGAAAAGAAACAAGCGTTCGAGTTGCCTGTTAAACTGTTTTTCATCCTAAGAGCACCAATTAATGTCCTTAATATTTGAATCTACTTCCAAGTTTGTCCAAATTAATCCAATCGCACAAAAACATATTTACTAACTTCAAAAAGTTACCCATAATTAAAGAGAAGAATGCCAGAAGTCACTGGGAGAGAGGATACATTTATGTATTTTTCGCTGTATGAGTCACAGGGTTTTTTTGTGTGCATAATTTGCATGCCCTGAGACTTATATGCCGAAGCGACATATTTATGGATTTTTTTTCCATATTTATTAACCATTTTTTAGCTGAGATATGACCGTTTTCATTCATTCTGACTGAAAATTTGAGCACTACCACTTTCAGCCACTAGATGGCAGCAGAGTAGTAAGGCATGCCGTTGTATCATGTAATAGGTAAAAGTGGCTATTAATGGCACAATCAGCCTGCCACCGTCGTCTGCCTGGAGCAACCAAATCAGCTTCATTTCGCTGCGCTACGCTGGCAAAATGCAGCTGATTTGACCATTAAAGTGAATTTATTAAGTAAAAGTTTAACTGAGACACATCTTTACTATAATTTCGAGCAAACAAATAATTGTTTTTAAGTGTTAATCTTGTTAAATTCTTGTTAAAGTCCTCCTGTGCATGCTCCTGTGGCCGTCATTTGACAGCCAATCGATTTTTGGCACAACACCGGCCCACATTTCCAGGTTGTCAGTTGTCACATGAAACAAACGCGACACGTCAGCGGTGACGCATAATAGATGTGACGTATACGACAAAGCAACATATTTATGGATTTTTCCACTTTATTAGACAAATTTGGACTGATGCGACTTATAGGGCAGTGCGATATGTACGGCGGAAAATACGTTACATCAAAAATTTCAGGGTGCTAACATATTACACACAAACATTCACTTGGTCCCAAAGTATGTTGGTAGGGAATAAACATTAATGTTATCACCCACATATATGATATATATTTTACCTACAATAAATACCTGCCGCACAAATTGCTTTATTTATATGTAGTAACATCTGCTTAATTAAACCCTCATTAGCAAAACCCTGACTGACTGACAAGAAAAAGTGAGATTTTCTGCTGCTTCAATTCTCTGTCAGTATGTTTTTTCACAATCGTTGGACTTTGGGCATGCTAACGTACCTACAGCTCTTTCAAATCATTTATGAGATTTTAATTTCCAGATAAATGCAGTTGTTTTGGTAATATTGCTCCTTCTTGCTCTCTTCCAATCTGTCCAGGTACATTTTAGAAGATTTGCTGAGCTCATCTGATTGTTCTAGTCACCAACAACGTTGTAAAAAGAAGAGTATTTTTGCTAAAGTAACTGAACACCACTTTGTTTAACTCTACAATTACTTCCACAATGGCAGCACATTTGGGACTGTTGGAATTTGATGATGTTAATGAAAATTTTCCATAGAGTCCATTCATGATATTTATTGTAATGTTAGTAATTTGATTAAAAGTGGGGGCTTTTTATTTTGATTCATCACAAACAATTGTCACATGCTGCGCAAATCCTTAATGGGAGAACTACCCATGGTTTGTAGTTAGTATTAATGAGGAAGCTGGTCAAGTCCAAGAAGACAATAAAACTCGACTTTTCAGAGGAAAAGTTTTTAACACTATTTAACATTCTCTTGAGGTCTTGACTGTTGGCCCTTCAATCTATCTCTCCCTTATATTTGCAAATCATTGAGAGAAATCAGCCAAGTCAAATATCTGGCTCCCAAAGATCGACTATTTGCTCATATGGCACAGAGATTACAATCAATTGATCAATTTCAAACACTTCTGATCCCGACTTGTTGTGCATATGAAGCACACCAGTCTACAAAAGCCATTTATTCTAATCAACCTCTCTATATTAAGACCAAAAATATGCCAAATGATGTCAGGGAGAAAATAGTGGGTTTGCACCAGGATGGACTGATTTAATAACCCATCTTGTCAGGACAAGACTCAGCTGTGTACCTCAAGAATAAGAGACACTTTGAGGGTCAGAGAAGCCTGATGGTTGTGGGATGGGCATTTATATCAGGTCAAGTCGACATTTTTTATAAAGCACATTTAAAACAGCAACTGTTACCAAAGTGCTCAAATGTCTTCTCAAACCAGAAACAAACTATTTAAACAGAGGAGGTCTCAGGATTTCAGCTTTTAAAAACTTACAATGGCTCATTACGCCCGACATTTTACTCTAACTCACATTTTCATGCATCTCTCTTGTGACGCAAACAAAGACCCTAACGACCCTCCGGTGGGAAGGGAGTGAGTTTAATCTGTAGGCAAATCTAGCTTGCACATCGGAGCATCTCAGGCAGAAATCTCTCAAAATTTGAAATGAGTTGAACTGAGAAAGCTCCCTGAAAGGTAAGCGAAATGTCTTCAACCACAGAATATAAGTCCAGTTGCTTTTTTTAGAGAGGGAAGAAGTATAATCAGTTTTAAAAGAAGCTTTGCATTGCCTTTTGTATCTGAAACAATAGCTACAATTAACTGTTTTCCAACTAAAATGTACCATACTTAAAAAAATATTAAAAATGATGATGTAAAATGGCTGCATCCTGAAGTAATTTACACATTTGAACAACCACTAACCATTATTATTCATTTTTTTCATTTAGCCTTTATTTATCCAGGTTAGTCTCATTGAGCCATGAGAACTCATTTGCAAGAGAGACCTGTTTTTTAGGGAGCACATGGTGGGGGTTAAGGGCCTTGCTCATGGGCCCAGAGTGGGGCGAATGAGGGTGGGGGCAAGTGTGGGTGTTTCACCTACCCCACCCACAATTTTGATGTTGTCGGGGCCGGGGCGTGAACCGGCGATCTTCGGATCACAAGCCCACCTCTCTAACCTCTGCGCCACCACTCCCCATAATTCAGTTTGGTTTGTTTAAATAGCATCTATTTACAACAAACTTCCTCTCGGAGCACTATACAAGCCCAAATCTTATCGAATTACATGCATTCCAATTCAGTTTAGAACAGAACTGGATTCAAATCCAATCAGTTCAGTCCAGTTATTACAATCAGAACCAGTGTATGGCAAAATATCAAAATGTAAAAAATGGACCATGAAACCATCTTGAGCAAGACCAAGGCGATGGTGGAAAGAAACAACTCCGTTTAACAGGAACATAAAATGAACACACACCCCACCACACACAAACACACATACCGAATTTTTTGCCGTATAAATTGCACCTTTTTGCATAAATTTGCAAGTCCTGCGACTTATACACCAAAGCGACTAATATACGTTTTTTACCCACATTTATAATCTAATTTTTGGCTGAGATCTGACGATTTCATTCATTCTGACATGAAAAATATTAAACACTACCATTTGCAGTCACTAGAGGGCCCTCGAGCAATGTGGCAAGCCAAGTGTCTCATTAATTGGTAAAAGTGGCTATTAATGAGACACTTGGCTTGCCATACAGCCACCTTCGTCTCACTCCGGAACTCCTGGAGCAAACGTCAAATCAGCTGCATCTGGCCACCCAGGCGAAATGCAGCTGATTTGACCATTAAAGTGAATTTATTAAGAAAACGTTTGACTGACACATACATTTACTATTATGTTGAGCAAACAAATAATAGTTTTTAAGTGTTAATCTTATTAAATTCTTGTTAAAGTCCTCCCGCGTCCCTATTTGGGCAGCCGATCAATTTTTGCAACAGGGCCGAGCGCAAATCGTGGCAGTGGCAGCCTTAGTGGCACTTCCAGTGGAAGGTGTCACGCTGCATCCGGCTTCAGTGACACCTGCCACCGGAATCGTGGCACCTGCCACCTGAATCGTGGCACCTGCCACCTGAATCGTAGCACCTGCCACCGGAATCGTAGCACCTGCCACCTGAATCGTGGCACCTGCCACCTGAATCGTAGCACCTGCCACCTGAATCGTGGCACCTGCCACCTGAATCGTGGCACCTGCCACCGGAATCGTGGCACCTGCCACCGGAATCGTGGCACCTGCCACCGGAAACGTGACACCTGCCACCGGAAGTGCCACTAAGGCTGCCACTGCCACGATTTGCACTCGCTGTCTCTCAATTTTTGGCACAACACCGGTACGTTTCCGGGTTGTCAGCAGTGAGTGACACATAATAGATGCGACTTATACAGTGGAAAATATAGTATATATATATTTTTTCTTCTTCAATGCACTTTCCCTGTTTTGTGAAACTATGTGTCTTGGTTTTGTCCCTGAAACAATTACCGGTATCTGCATTAGTATGGAAAATGAATTCATCTAACGCCAGTTTCTCTTGTATGCAAAAGAATGGGGAAACATGCACAGAACTATTGAAATAGGTTAGTTCCTTCTCCAAGGAGATAAAGGTATATTCGAGCTTATATTTTTTCAATCATTGCCTCTGCACTGTTTCTTTAAAAATGGAGCCTTTGCTGCCAATGGCTAATCTTCAGAGAACAGATAGCCTCTCATCCCTGGCCTATATGAGTGTAACCGACATGCAAAACATGGATTATAGCTGAAAGCAGCCGCTTCAGATGTAAAAGCAGCGTTCACCATTCAGACCTGCACTGAAAGCATCAAGGCGTTCATGAGGGCCTGAAGGGATTATTATTATTATTACTATTATTATTATTCCAAACACATAAATCTGATTATTAGAGAGGATTGGGATCAATACAGGGCCTTTTTTTTTTCTTCATGCAGGGAACATATGTTCTAGCATAGTGCTGCTACTGGAGACAATAACAAGAGCTGCGGTGACCTACAAAAGAAATTGTCTCATGGATCAGTGGACAAAAAGAGAGGCCGGACAACAGACCGCGTCCGAGTCGCGGATGTGGACAGCAGCGCGCACAGACGCGCAGACGGCTCGCTGATGCAGAGCAGGGCTGGTGTGTGTGCGCGCGTGTGTGTGTATGGGAGGGGGGTGTTTTGCTCTTACTTTCTCTGTGGAGCCCGGGCTGAGCCGCTCCAGCAGTCTGCACAACACCACCCCGTCTTTCAGGGAGCTCTGCAGGAAAGCCTCCGGGTCCGAGATGCTCTTCTTCGGCGACTCCAGCACCCCGAGCGTGATCAACCATGTCACCGTCTGTTCCGCCGAATTCATCCTCAACAAAGAGCCTGCGCCTGCTGTTTCCTTTTTTAAGCGCGGGGGTATCTTTCTAACACCGCCCTGGTTAGGCTGTCATTTGCGCCTTAGGAGATAAACATCATTAATCCTCCACCCCAATAAAAAAAGATGCAGTAGGTGAGAGAGAGGGGGACTGCGGGAAAACCTCCAGTACCTCAGCTGGATGATGGTGAGGAGCAGATGATGGAAATTCGGCGTCTTGTCCCCTTCCTTGAATGCTCATCTGCTTCCAGCCCGTCTATAACCTGGAAATCTGTCAAATGCGCGTCGCTGTGGTGCGTTCACTGGACTGCAAACATGCGCATCGCAGCCGCCTCTCATCCATTGGCTGACATCACAGCAGAGGGACAAGCCAGTCCAACCAGTTCATGGTCCACCTCAGCTTGGCGTGAATAAAGAAGGCTTTTAGTGCACGTGCAGCTTTGCATCTCATCGAACCTCTGTCCTTTTCCAGCTGTGAGTTTTATCACATTCAAAATGTTTTAGAGAGAGGCGACAGCCGGTTTGTCCAGAACACTTGAAGCCCACATAAACTGTGATTATTCACATTTCAAAGTTTAGACTAAATTACAAGATGGGGATCACAACATTTTTTTTTAAAGGAACACTATAAACAAAAATATCACTATGTGTTTTGCTTTTACATAATTATATGTGCACATTTTGGGAGAAAATCTATTCAGTGGAGACAATTCTGATGAGCAAAAGCATGAATACATATTTACTGTTCATAATTGAGCGTCTAATCTGTCTAAAAGTTAATATTTGATCAACTTGTGTTTATTTTTGTCCCATAATTTTGGGGTTTAAAACAAAGACTGGTGACATCAAAGTTCATGCTCAGTAATCCAGGTAAAAATCCAACAATGTTCAGTCAGAGCATCTAGACAGTGTCTTTTTTTGTTAAGAGACATGTCGCCCTCCATCCAGATGTTTACCTGGATTACTGCATGAACTTTGATGTCTTGAACCACTTTGGCTGTGGCTGCATGAGAGGAGTCGACAGGGGAGAGGACAGACCCCAGAAACCATCTTATCACCAGCAAACTGGTTGGTCCACTGTAGGAGTGTACTGGTTAGTGGGGAAAACTGTTTGTTGGTGACTCCTCAGACTGATGAAGCCCTTCGGATGGAGGGAGAAACGTCTCTCAACAGACAAAAGAAACTGTCCAGATGACCTGACTGAACATTGTTGGAAAGAGTGGTGACATCACTTCCATGTGTCTGAAAGGTATAAAATGCTGTGCACACTCACTGTTTGATCTGTTGTTTAATAAAAACATGATATTTACAAGAATGCACAGTTCACTACATTTAAGAATCCAAAACATTAGTGCACACCTGATGCACAGATATACTATATATATTTATGTATCTATATATATATATATATATATATATATAT